GGGTGGCTGGGGGTGCTGCACCGTGGCTGGCCGGGGGCGAGGGGTGCCGTGCCGGAGGGTCCTGCAGACGCCAGCTTGGGCCGGCTCCGGGGGCTGGCAGGGCCCTGGAGTGACCCCTCCTGGCTGGGGGATCCCCGCCGCCACGTGCGGGGGGGGGGGGGGGGGGCTCTGCCGGCTCGCTGCCACCCCATTGGTGCACTCGCTGTTGCTAAGGGAGGCAAGACACTTGCTGATTGGCTGCAGGGAAATTACGCACCGGCTGCCGCCTCTGCTACAGCCTCTTGTTACATACACCCCCACCCCCCCGCCGGGCCTGCCCCCCCCCAGCTCCCGGCCCCGCCCTGCCCGTTCCCCCCCCCCGCCCTACCTCCCCCCAGGCCTCACAGCCCCGGCTGGCAGTGCCCCTTCCCCTCAGCCCCTCCGCGACCTGCCTCCCCCTCAGCGCTCGCCCCCCAAGCCCTGCCTATTCCACCAGGTCTGCCCCCCCACCTCTCCCCCCAGCCCTGCCTGGCAGCTCCCCGGCCCCCCAGCCCCCTTCCTGCCCTGACTGCCCCCTGCCTATTCCACCAGGTCTGCCCCACCACCTCCCCCCCAGCCCTGCCTGACAGCACCCCGGCCCCCCAGCCCCCTTCCCGCCCTGACTGCCCCCTGCCTATTCCACCAGGTCTGCCCCTCCACCTCCCCCCCAGCCCTGCCTGACAGCACCCTTGCCCCATCTGTCCCCCCAGGTCTGCCCGTTGGTGTCCTTGCCCCCCCATCCAGCTCTGCCTGGTGATGCTCCTCCGCCCCCCCGGGCCCCACCTGGCAGCCTCTCTGGTATTCTAGCCCGAGACTCCCCATCCATAGACAGCTCTGCTGATGCCCCTCAGTACTGACCCACAACCCCTAACATTATACAGTTTGGATCTGATCTAAGATTAGGGAATTGGGGAAGCAGCCTCTCTGCCCTTCCCCACCCCGCAGGCGGGGCTGGGGGAGGGCAGGCGGGGCTGCCAGGCAGGGTTCGGGGGCAGCCCCTCTGCACCTGTGCAAGTCTGGGGCTCCAAACCGTCAGGAAAAGTTTCACACAGCGACAGGGCTGAGCACAGATGCCAGGTCCGACTGCAAAGCCACCTCCGCTAGGGAAGGTGCCAGTGCTATAGCAAAGGGAACAGAAACTGAAAACGCCCGTTGTCTCCTCCTGACTCCTCAGCTGTGGCGTGGCGAAAGGTCTTAGCTCCGGCTGGAGCAGGCACCAGCTGGGAGACAGGTGCTGACTCCGAGCTCAGCCCCTTCACACACACATGGGGAGAGGGGATTTGCTGGCTGGCAGTTCTAATGCCCTGGAAATCCATGACAGGACCCTTGCTATGTCCGGTCTCCCGAAGGCCCCAGCACTGAATCTTCTCAGGTTCTGCTGCATGCACTTTGCCTTGTTATGTTTCCAGCCCTGTAAATAGTCTGTCGGTGACGTAGTTTAAAGTTGGCCTCTGCTGGAGGATGAAAACCGCCGAGAGCTATGTGGGTGTACGGATCCTGGAACAGTTCCTCCTTGCACCAAGTCCCATTAGCCACTAAAGGAAGAGAAGGTCCTGCTCTGGATGAGGGGCTGAGCTAGCAGAAGCCAAACAAGTCCTAGTGTCTGCGATTCCCATCCAGCTCCCTGGGGCAGGGCCAGGAGCGAATTTGTGTCTTGGGGCTTCACAGACCATGTCTGCAGCCTCCTGACAGCTGCCTCCTGTGATTGCACAGCTGGCCGCAGTGACGGTGTTTGACTGACCCTTCTGTGGTGCTCTAACGGGGATCATCCTCCAGGCTCATGTGGCATGAGCCCTGTGCCACCTCTGGCACAGCATGCAGGAGAATGCCATGTTCCTTAGACGGACAAGTGGTAGCACAGCTTAGATACCAGTCATGACAGACAGACGGGTGGACCCGTGGGAAAAGGGATGCTCCTCGCAGAGGAACAGAAACTTCCCACTGACAATGTGCGGTGAAGGTTTTCTGTGGGCCAGCCCCTCCTGGCGCATGGCTCCGGAGCGCTAGCTCGGAAGAGCTCTCGGCGTCCCGGCCGCTCTCAGCAGAGGGTGCTGTGGAGAATGATGCAGGTAATGATGGCAGGATGGATCTGTGGAAGGGAATCCTCCGAGCTTCAGCCTCTCCCCGCCCGGGAGATTACGCTGGCAGCCTGCAGCAAAGCTGCTAACGAGAGCTTTGGGCGCCTAATCACGGAGTGCCCTGGGGGGAGAGGCCGACGTGCATGGGCCAGCTGCCGCCCAGGGACCACAGGCTGCTCCCTGGGGAGGGAGGAGGCCCACAGCTGATGCTGCAGAGCGGAGCTGTGGCCCCTCAGGCTCTGAGGGCCCCTAGTGGGTGACCAGGGTACGTGATTGAAAACGGGCTCCCTGGGGGCCATGTGCTCGGAGGATTAAACTGAGGCCCTTGAGTCAGCTCCGTGGCTGTGGGGAGGTGGGAGGGGGCATCACCTTCCCAGCTGGCTTCCAGTGCTTCCCCCGCACCGCAGGAGCCGCTCTGGGGTGGGCCAGCGGCAGCGACTCCCCTGCCTCTGCTCAGCAGCATTCACGCCTGCTGGCTGCCTGCCACGCCAGGTGGGAGAGGAGTCGTTCCTGGGCTGCAGGCGCCCCAGAGGGCAGGGCAGGAGCTGACGGGCTCTGCTAGAGCCTAGGGAACCAGGTACCGTGTGGATGGTGGCCCCAGCCTTGAGGCTGGACAGCAAGGACTTGCTGTGGCTCCTATCGCGCCAAGGTCCAGCCCTGGGGACTGGCTGGCTCGGGCGTTTGCCCTGCTCTGCGTCTGGCCCCAGGCTGGGAGTGAGTGAAAGTCCCTCTTGTATCTGACAGCACTGGGCCAGCCTCCTGGCAGGAAGAGGCTCTGCTGAAACCTGGGGGTCCCTGTGGCCACAAGGACCCGGAGGCTGTGAACTGCCAGCAGCAGACAATTTCCTCGATCCGGGGTGCTGCTAGTGCGGCAGCTGGGTCTGAACGTATCCCCTTCTCACCAGTCCCCGACGCCTGTCCATCCTGCCGCCATTACTCTTCACCAGCCGCCTTTCAGTGCGTGCCGTTCTCCACCCGACCCCGGGCCAGCTGAGCCCTGGGAATGCTGGAGTCAGGAGCACGGGATACACAGAGATGGGAGCCATAACGGCGCCCACTCCCGCCAGCAGTGCCACTGGCCTGACTTCTCTTGGACCCAGCGAGGGGCTGGGCTGGGCTTGCATGTTTCAGCACTAGAAAGTCAGGAAGTGACAGCACCCAGATTCCCACGCCTCCCTGGCTTCCCTTCCTGTGCCTGCATCATTGCAAATGAGGCTCTAATTACAGGGCACAGGCTCATTCTCAGCCAGTGCAAACGTCCCAGCCCCTACTGCCCCGTCCCAGCCCCTACTGCCCCGTCCCACGCCAGCCTGCCCCGTCCCAGCCCCTACTGCCCCGTCCCACACCAACCTGCCCTGTCCCAGC